ATTAAAATTCGATCGATGCTTAATTTAATTTTATAAACTTTTACGAATGGGAAATATTAAAACCTTTGTACAATAAATATAAAATAAATATTATATATTGTATAAAATTTTTAAACATTATTTTCAAAAGGTTCCAAAAAATTATATAATGCATAATAGGTACAGAATTCAACTTTTATAAAACTATCAAAATAAGTATTGGTATTCATTAAACAAAATGACACCTAATACAAAGTCATCGTCTTTGATACTTATTAAATTATAAATTATAAAATCATTAAATTGTAAAATCAATATGTTCTGATGTTTAGAGTAAATGGATTAACAAACAATTCAATTAATAAACTCCTGATTAATAATATAAAGATAAAATATTAGAAAAAGCAACTTTAAAAAAGTTATCTGAAAATTTCCTGATTTTTTTAAAGCATAAACAAATTCTTTGAGAATTCCAGGTTTTCCAGATTTTCCAGATAATAGACATTCTGATCTCTTATAATTGAAATGTTAATAGATTCACATCTCGTGATTCCTAAATTAATTCCTAAGTTAATCAATTCATTTTTCCTAGGAGGAAAAAATAATAAGGAAAGTACGTGGCAACTATTTTTTTGCCAATCTCGAAGGCATTCCGTCGTTCGAAGAGGAACGAACAGCAGTGGGTTAAAGGGTTAATTAGCCGCCACTGGAGCAAAGTGCCTATATACAGCGAGAAGAGGGAGTCCCCCCTCCGCTTGTGGAGGAACTACGGGTGGGTAGTCCTAACCTCGTGAGCCAGCAGCGGCAAGTCCAAGGTTGACGGGGCTCTGATGCAACGCAAACGTCGGCCGGGCCGGTCTGCAGCGCTCGGTGCAGCTCGCTATCGCGGCACGAAGAGCGAGCGAGAGAGGGAGTACGCGGGCGGAGGAAGAGGCGAGAGGGGACGATGCACATCAGCCGCGGTGCATCGGGATTCCCTGCACGCCGGGCATGCACCAGCCGTGGAGCAGCGCTCGACCTCCACATTGTAGCACTCTGATGACGAGAATGGCTCGAGGTCGCTCGCCGATTCACAGAAATTGGAGCGGAATTCGCGATATCGAATATGTTTTTCGGATCGACCGCGAGAGTCGGTTCCGCGTAGCTGCGCGAACCGACTGCATGGAACTATCATCACGCGTTGCGTGTATTGGAAATTCTGTAACAATGTAATAACGCTCGTCGTAGTCACCTGGGATGACTATCAAAAAATGAGGATCCCCGAATCGAGATGAAATTAAGCGAAATTGTGATATCCGCAGATATCTTCTTAATCATGCGGTAGATCCTGCTGGTATCTGTTCGTAAATCACGCTCGGGTCGTTTCACGAGGATTGCTCGAACGTGCAAAATTCTCGAGAGGAAGATTCTTCTCAAGTCCTTCAGACGAAAGGACATTATCCTGCGAGGGAGAGTATTATCCATTTGCACACCGGCGTCGGCGCTCTTTTTACGTTGATCCCAAGTCGTTACGAAGCGGCTCGACTGCTTTTATCGGAGAAGTATGTTAAGAGATCGAAATTCAGAGAGGTGTGTGTGTATATATATATATATGTAATTTGGAATATGGGTGTCTCGATATAGGATAGAGATCCCTCCTCTTCTTCACTATCATTACTTTCGTCGCACTCTCGGATTGTATTAGAGAAAGACGAGACAAGTTTTAATTGGATAAGTTACTTTGAGACTTTAACTTTTGTATCTGAGTTTCGTAAAGCCACCACGGAGAAAATGTTAACGAGAGCTATCGTTGTAATGAAATTCGGGGTGCTCCGAGGTACAACGACATCGAATTATATCAACGACAAAATAATCTTAATGGAAAGCCGAACAGACATAATGATATTAATTGTCTCTTATATATTTTCTCAACTTTTATATTTTTATTCTCGACCTCTCGATAATAAAGTTACATTCGTGTGATATATTTGAATATAAAAAATTTTGAGATTTATAAAAGAAAGCTTTATTTTTTTTAAGTCTATGTGAATGATGTAAAAATTGTAAGAGATTATTTCAAGCTTTCATATCCTTTTTCTCATGCTTAAAAAAAGTTTATACAAGATGTAATTAATAAATATTTGACTTTAGAACATGAACAATTAATTTTTAATTTTCAAATATTTTATTATAAAAATCAAATTTCTTTCTGATATGTAAAACTCCTAATTCTTTTTTATTATAAAATCATGGTTACAAAAAAATACAAGAATAAAATGCTATACTAATTATCATGAAATGATAAGATTTAAAAATATACACAGAAAGAACGGTTTTATTAAAACATCTAAAAATTTGACTCGATACATATCTGAAAATAATTTTGATGCTCGAAATAATTATATAGGACGCTTAAATTTTATAATCGCTACAAAAATTCTTAATATTCCAACAATTTGAACGTCTCTCACAATTATTATAGCCCAACAAATTTAGACTTCAGCAAAATTACAGAATAATTTTCTTCCATATAGATATATAAGCGACTTCAAAGCGTTTCATGGCGTTAAAAAATTGATTAATCAATTCTATCCATATATTATAACTCATAAATTACATAATTTAGACCGCGTTCGGTAGGAATTCTTCGATAATTACGAAAGGCGACGCATGTGCGCGGTGACGAGACACGGACTATTGTAATACAGCCGACGCGCGGCGTTTGCGTCAACGCGTTCGGGCGAGCGGTCTCGCGTGTTCGCATAAAAGTCATCGCAGATGTTTCTTCCTTTTCAGCGATGCATTTTCGCGAAGAGACGCGCACGCAACGCGGCGGTTCGCCGCGATGGGACCTGTTGCAGCTGCGGCACGAAAGACGACACGCGGACCCGTTCTCGGGGCCGAGACGTGCGGCGGAGGCTCTTTCACCTACTATCGCGTCCCCCCTCCCCTCCCCCCGCCCTTACCGATGCCTGTCGCGTTACGTGTCGCATTGGTTCGTCGACATTTTTATTATTCCGCCGCTCGACGCGGCGGTTCGACGCACCGCACCGATTATGCAAACGCGACGCCGCATTTGCAGCTTTTTCTTCTTACGTGCGCATGCAAGAAACGGACACGAGAAGGCAGCAGTTAATAACCGAGGAGGAGCGACGCGACGAGCCAAAGTTCAGCGTTGACGTTTCGGATTTTCGAGGAATGATACTGTAACGCGAGATCTGAAAAATTTTTCCATACAGCAGATACATTCGAGAACTTCCGAAATAAGACGGAAAAAAATATTTTGTGTTACGACACAAAATAAAAATATTTTGTGTCATACGTTAACACGCACCGATATACGTTGACGATAATGACGAATCTCCCTTTGCAAATTTATTTATATCAGCTAAATATATAGTTTTAATAATCCATTTTTAATAATCCGTCATTAGCTGCGCGGTAAGAGCGATTTTTGCTAAAAAAATTTAATCAAGCACAGAAAATAATTTTTTTAATTAAAATAATTACGTAAAGTGATATAATATTGCAAAAATTTTCAATATTCTAGCAATCAATTGTTTTTGAATTGTTTTAATTGTTTTAATTATGGCTCAACAGAATTATTTCGCGTTTGGACAAATTTTTAAATACTTCAGTAAAATTGATCTTTCCGTGCACACAGCACCAAATATTATCTTTTTCGTGATTAATTATTTCCACTGCGTGTATAATCCAATTAATAATCACCGAAGCGACTGCGCGATAATTAAACCGGAGTAACAAAGTACGTTCGATATTAAAAATTCCGTATGCCTTCAATACTTGAGTGAAATCATGATCGTTAAATGTGATTGTAAGTTCGCAGACGCGAAACACTTTGACGAGCGTGTTCTACCCTCCCTCCCTCCCTCTCTCCCTTTCGGAGAAGTTAATGCTACCAGTCCCTCGAGTAAAGACACGAGACAGCCTCGAGACTTATCGAGCGTTAAATAATTGAGGAAAGGTCGATGGTTGCCTCGTCGACGTCGTGCTCAAGCACGATTCTGTCGGTGAAAACACCGGGGAAAAAAATTTTCCCAAGCTCGCCCGTCCCGCTCGATTTAATTATTCGGAATCGTCACTGCGCATCGAGCGCAATACTTACTTTTGCAGCGCCGAGTGCAGGTCGGAGGGTAGCGATAATTGGAAAAAACAAAGCATTTATCGTCGATGCTTTATCGTGACGCGCCGCTATATAGGTGACACTAGGCCGAGCCGCATAATAAACGACCCGCTTATTTATTGCTTATTCTTGGTTGGAAACCGTCGGAGGATTACTCGTCGTTCCTTCCCATTAACGAGGGTCGAGATTATCAAGCGAATCCGAAGGACCTTGGCTCGCTCTCTCGCGACGAAAAAGTCATCTGGCAAACACGACGACGACGGACGGATTCATATTCATATACATATACATTTCTCTCTTTCTCTCCGTCTTTTTTCTCGGATAAATCCGTAGGGGCCTTTGTCGCGTCTTTGGCGAGCCCGCTTCCTTCTTCGAGAAACGCAACAGAAGAGCGCGGTAATTATTTTTGCAGTTGACCGCCGGGAAACGACGCACGATGAGATGCACGAACCGAGGGGAGGGGAGGGATATTCAAACGGGTTTGTTCGCCTCTATTGAACCCGGCCGCTCGAGAGAGATTCAGCCGCAATCGAAACGCCGATTACCCGCGAGCGTACGTTTCTTGAATAAAATCGCCGCGCGTCAAGGATCAAATTTGCATGACAAATACGAGCGAGATGCGAGGAGGAGTCTCGTTAGACTTTTATCCGACGCACTCTCCTCCTTCACGGAGCGTATCATCGCTTTAAACATTCTCCACAGATATCGCGATAGACAGCGCAATAAATCGTTTCCTCAACCCCCCCCCCCTCGCGGAGACTCCACCAGCGCTTCAGGAAAGGAAAGGAATAATAAGTAAAGATCCAATAAAGTAAACGGAATTATTATTCGGTCGGGGAGTATCGCTCAACTAACGAGTTCGTTGCGCGATACAACGATACGGAAATGATGCACTTACCTATAAACACCGTAGTGTTTACCGCTCGCACGATCTCCGCAGATCGAACACAGGTGTTTGCTGCCCGACAGCGGATGATTAGGCGGATAAGGCGTGACCGATTTGCTCTGACCGCTGGGCGATGTACTCAGGAGGTTGCTGTGACAACCAGCATTGAAGGGTCTTTACATGCAAAGCAGAGAACGATCGTCTATGAAATCTACGCCGCTACGACCGTAGCATGCACACATTTCAGACACACTTTGCACTGATTAATGGACCGCGACGTATGCATTTTAATATCTCAGGAATCAGGAGATTCCCTACGTTCCTTATTCAAAGTAACTATTGTAACTCCCTTTAAAAGATATCACTAAACAAAAAAGAAAAAAAAGAAAAAGTAAAAAGAAATTTTTTCTTCATCAAAGTCGCCCGAATTAAATTCAATCGAATTAAATTCCAGTTCTCAAAAATCCAGTTCTCAATATTCGCTAACGACAAGTCGTCACGGCGATACGCTTACCCTGGACTGTTGGGACCCGATGGGCTGAAGTTTCCCGGATTGATAAGGGCCGTGTCGGGCTTCATGTCGAGAGGACTCTGCGGGCCCACCGACGACATCGACATATTGCTGTTGTCCAAACTCAGCCCTGAAACACGAAAAAAAAAAAGTCGAATCTTTACTCCATCGAGTTCCCATCTATCGCGTTTCATCTATCTTAATGTTCGCACATTCGATGCTGCACGAGCGCCGTTCTCGTGTCACGAGATCGATCTTTTCGAGACGAGGGAGGGGGGGGGGCGAAAAGAGGGGGAGAAAAACGCCTATGTAAATTGCCGGCAATTCCTGATGTTGCGTGAGAAGCGCATCCATTATCCGTGCGATTATCGGCGCGGGTATCCTTTCTAAAGCGGTGAAAGGGCGCCGAGCGAGGATCAGCAGGCGTCTTTTCCGTATCTTCCGCGTCCTTCGGCATTCTCCTCTCGCGCCTCGGACGACGGCGCCTCTCGACGAGAGAGAGAGAGAGAGAGAGAGAGAGAGAGAGAGAGCTCACTGGTGATTTGCCAGTTACGGGAAACACGAGATATACGTAAATCGCTTAATTCATGTCTCGATCAACGCGTTTTCTTTAAAAAAAAAAAAAATTACGCAAAAAAGAAAAGAGCGATTCCGCTCTCGAAGGTCGGACGGAATTATCCGATCGCGAGAGAAACGTGCAATCGCGAGATTTGCGATCGTTGCAGGTGCGAAGGCGCTTGTTTAAGCGTCGAGGTTTGTCCGCCTCGAGTAGACTCTCTCATTATCCGGGAATTCTGTCGAAGGGATTTCTTTCCTCGGCATCGCGTGAACATGGAGTTTTTCCCTTGCCGCGGAATGAGGAGGTTGCACTTTACGATATCTCGTCGATATCTCTGGTATTATAAGCGTAGTAATGTGCTATTTAATCGATCAATTGAGTATATTACATATTTGATTCAGGGAAACTAAGAATTTATATGAGTTTACATGAGTTTAAAGCGGTGAGATTCTTTGCTTCGTAGATTCTCGAATCGTACATAATATTCAATGGAATAGAAAAGATTCCACGTTTAATTTCAGAACTAAAAGATTAATTCCATGCCTAATTCCAAGACAGAAGATTTTATAAATATATAAATATATGTACACACACACACACACACACACACACACACACACACGCACACACGCGCGCGCGCGCGCGCGCACACACACACACGCACACGCACACGCACACGCACGCACGCGCGCGCGGAAAAGTAATTCTGCTAAAGGATCTAAAAATAAGTTTTAATTAAATCATCAAAATAATTACATAGAACATTCAAATTAACTGCTAGAATATAAAAAAATTTTGCAATTATTTTCATATTTAAATATCTGGCATAAAAACCTGATAGTCTAACAAAATTATTTTTCAGGTCTGTATGTCCAAATTTTTAGATCCTTCAATAAAACTGTTCTTTCTTCATAAATCTATTACCGAAAATTAATTCTAAAATTCTTAATTCTTGATAAAGTATCATTTATAATTTATAGAAGCGAAATTGTAGAAGGGAATAGATTTAAAGGCTCGCCAAATTCTTCCAGATCTGCGACATTTATGGCTTTAAAATGTCTGGAAGGATTCGTTCGTAATACCAACGAAGACCCTTGAAAGTGAGAGTTGATGGAAACAAATACCCGAGGGGGCAAGAACCCATGGAGCGGAGAATCCGTGAAAGTGGGCTTCTAAAGGGCGGTTTTACGCAACTGAGAATGCGCGGTTATTGGCGTTTGTATTGGAGGAGCTCATTTACGTTGGCATACCGCCTCCAGATTGCCCGGGTAAACGAGTTTATAACAAATGAGCCTGCAACAAAGTCTTGCGCGGGAATGCAAATTGCGCTTAGGGGTGAACGAGATGAAAACTTCTTTCGCCAGCCACGAAACATCGATACTAATTGATGTACATTATATCGCCAATTTCAACATGAAAACATCTCGTGGAATTACGGAGTATTGATCCCCATGATATGTTTTTTTCTGCTTCCCTTGAGTGTTTATCGGCCGTCTCGGCGGTCGTCTCGCCCTTCTTTACCCTCCACGACATGGATTCATCCTCCCTCGAGGAAGAAAAGTCCTTCTCCACGGTACAAAAAACCAATCCATTCTTGTGCCGACGCTTATTCCCTTTAACGACGGCCAAGTGATCGATGAAGGTTTGCGTTTCATGAAAAAAATTTTCCCCACAGAAAATTCCCCCTTATTAGTAACAATCCTTTCAAACATCGAGGGATGCCTGAAACCGTTTTTTAACGTACACACCGCGAGTATCAAAATCGATCGTTTTTTATTGGCTGCGGTAAAAACTGGACACCTACTCCGCTCTCAATCGCATAAATTGCTAATCGCATCGCGCTATAGCGAATAAAGATGGCGGCAGATAAAGATTGATCATCGCCTATCTAAGATCGTCGCTTTACGAGCGCGGAGCAATGCCTTCGCGTCTATTATTGTACAACGTGCGCGATCCTCAATCAGCGGTAGTAATCATCTAGCGTCAACCGAATGGGTCGTCTCTCCCCGACGACCTTGTCTGACCATCGCGAGCATTTTTCACTTTCTATATTCAGGCAGCCGGTCCATTATTGCCCGACGATGGCGAGCCCCCGCGAGCCCCCGGGCTCGCACCTCGGGCTCCGCACCGGCGTTTTCTCCGCATCGTGGGAGTCAGGGTGGAACGTCCGGGAAGATAAACGACATTTTAATCGACTCCAGACACGATCGCCGAGGGACGCGATGTTGACGAATGTTTGCGAGACGACAAAGGAAGGAGGCGGCATTAAGCCCCGTCTGGACGATCTATATATTCGGAGGCAGAATTCAGGATAGAATTCTATCCTACGGTATTATGGGTCGAATTAATAGAGGCAATTTATAGAATGAGATTTTGCACTAATTTCGCAAATGTGCTCTCCTCCATTTTCGGTCTCGGATCGAACAAGCTTCTCTCTCTTTAAATTGCCTGAAAAATATTCTAGTTCAAAGATAAATATTAATGGAACTTGTGAATTTATCGCGGTCTTGTAACCTGTAATTTCGATCTCTTCATAAAATGCAAATTTAAGATAGCGTGGAATTTTTTTCAAGCTGTTCAATTCCACCGCGCATTCTAGATCGTCTAATATGGGCTTTATATCGATAGAGGTAGCCGGAGAGCAACGAGCGTTCGTTCAGACGATCCGTCGTTGAGGACGCGTCAAGTGCATCGGTAATTGCACGCCTGACGTCACTCCATCACTCTCCATCTCTCTCCTTCTGCGCTCCTTCTCGGTTTCTCTCGGCCCACTCGGTCGACCCGCTCGCTCGGAAGCGCATCACTAACCGACAAATGCGCAGCAGACGGACAGATTGGGATTTATGGCGGTGATGCCACTGCATCAGAGATAACCGTCGAGAATCGATGGTCACTAATCGAAGACGGCATCGACGTCTCCAAAAATCTGATATTAGCGTGACCACACACATACACACACACACACACTAAAAGATATAACAAAATTTTATCAAAGATATTATTATTAAATACTATCGTAATTAAAATATTAAAAAAGAATCAAAAGAAAATTTACCTCGTTAATTATATCTGTATTAATTAATGCTTTCGATTAGGGAATAATTTTTTTAATTTAATTTAATTTAAATTCAATTTATTTATCTCGAGTAAATTACGTCGTTGAGATATATATATATATATATATATATATATAATAAATAAAATAATAT